ATTGGTTCCCCCTTTCTATCCCACCTTCCCCTTACTCTCCTGGTATCGCTACTCTCATTATTGGTCCTGAAGGGTTTATCTGTCCTGGACTCCCTGTGTTTCCAGTTCCTATCTGTACCAGTATACATGCTCTGGTCTAGCCAGATTTGTAAAGTAGAATTGGGATCATGATAGTGGAGGGGAGGAAACATTAGAAAACTAGAGGAAAATTGTATGTTTCATCGTTGCTACACTGCACCCTGACTGGCTTGTCTCCTCCCCGTGGCCCTTCAGTAAAGGGATGTCCAATTGCCTACAGATGGGCTTTGGGTCTCCACTCCTCACTCCCCCTCATTCACAATGATATGATTTTTTTTGTTCTTTGATGCCTGATACCTGACCCCTTCGACACCTCGTGATCACACAGGCTGGTGTGCTTCTTCCATGTGGGCTTTGTTGCTTCTCAGCTAGATGGCCCTTGTTTATCTTCAAGCCTTTAAGACCCCAGACACCGTATCTTTTGATAGCTGGGCACCATTAGCTTTCTTCACCACATTTGCTTAGGCACCTGCTCTGTCTTCAGCGATTGTGTAGGGCAGGTGAGCATCATGGAACGCCAGGTTAAAAGAACAGTGTTCTTGCACTGAGGGAGTCCTGGAATGGAGGCCCAGTATCCTCATTGTCCAACTTCCGCGTGCACCCAAGACAGTTGAAAATTCCATGGCTTTGGTCAAGTGCACCTTAGTCCTCAAAGTAATGTCCTTGCTTTTCAACACTCGAAAGAGGTCCCTGTGCAGCAGATTTACCCAGTGCAATGTGTCCTTGGATCTCTTGACTGCTGCTTCCACCGGCATTGATTTTGGATCCAAGTAAGATGAAATCCTTGATAATGTCGATCTTTACCTGTTTACCTTGAGAGCACCTACTTGTCAAGTTGTGAGGCTTTGGGTTTGCTGTCACTTTGTCACCATGTAGGAGCTTGTGTGTTGCTGTGATGTTGGAAGCTATGTCTCTGGTGTTTCAAATGCCAGCAGGGTCTCCCAAAGTGGACAGGTTTCAGCAGAGCTTTCAGACTAAGCACAGACTACAGAGAAGGAAGGAGGCAGAAGGAGGGGTAAACTGTCAACTGGCACAGCCTGGCCATTTTGAATGATGGCCGGTGGTGTTCCAATTGGAACAGGAGCCGGATGACCAGCTCTGCTTGCCCACCAGCCCCCACCTTAGTGGCCTGTGATCAAAAAGCTGTGATCACCCCCTCTTACCTTGCATGGCAGCCACAGCCATGTTTAGTGGCTAGTTCTTACACCAATAAAGTTCTACTTTTAGAAGAACTTTTGACACACACCCCTTTTGTTTTCTTCCTTTCTTCATGGGTTTTTCTCCAACTTCTCACCCATCTTTTTTCCTTCCTGTCCCCCTCCCAGTAGTCAGAAACCAAGGCCATACCTGTCACACCTGACACTCCACCAACTAGGCGAGTGTCATCACTCACTGTAGCCCCACTGGATCGATGACAGACAGCAGCTAACGTGAACAACATGTTGAGACACACCCCCATTCCCACCTGCTGTGAAATTCACACAGAGACAGGTGGCGAGTGCCTCAGGGCTGCCGAACTACTGGCTGTTGTCTGGATATATTGAAACAAAACAAGAAAATCCAACGGAAGTAAACTTCCGTTCAACCAAAAAAAGGAATGCAAGGTCTTGGAGACCATGTAGAACTTCTGATTTCTCACACAGACTGGACAAAATGGTCTGACAAAGGACCAAAATTCAGGGCCAGAAAATCCTTCTGAGGAAGATATGCTATTGAAATTACCTGATAAGGAACCTAGAAGATTTAAGTGTTCACAGAAAGTACTGACTAAATGGGGGGGGGGGGAATGCAAGAAAAGCCCTTGAAGAATTAATAAACAGAATTAATAAACAGAAAAAAAGAGTAGGAGTATAAATTAATAAACAGAAAATTGAAAACCAATACAAGAACAACAAACAGAAATCCAGAAGTTTAATATAAAAGTTTTAGAAATAGATCATGTATTGGAAGATCGAAAGAGTAGAATTCAATCAATGGAAGACAGAATGAATGAAATCAAAGACTTGCTATTAATCTGTTAGAGGAAATATCAGGGGGAAATGAAGGAAGTCTAAGGATGATGTGGAACCGCATCAAGAAGAGTAACATGCATGTGACTGGGACCTCAGAACAGAAAGACAGCCTCCCCCAAACTCCCCCTCCTTCCCCAAAATAACACTGAGAACGTTGTCAGAGATTTGTGGAAGAAAACATCACTATTATCATGAAACATGAGAAAACATGCATTCAGAATCCAGAACCTGCCAACAGAAGAGCACAATATATGTTCTTATCCAGCGCATGTGGGCTCTGCTCCAGAATATACCAGATGCTAGGGCACCAAACAAGCCTCAGTATATCTTAGAAATCCAAATGCCATTCAGCATCTTTTCATGACAGTGCTACAAAATTAGAAATCAACAATACTAAGAGCATGGGGGGGGGGGGGGCGCGTCAAATATATGAAAATAGAACAACACCTTGCTTAACACCTAGTGGCTAATAGAAGAAACTTAAAAATCCCTTCTTGCCTCAGACAAGAACGAAAACACAACATATTCAAATCTTTGGGATACAGCAAAAGCAGGGCTTCAAGGACAATTTATAGCAACAAACACACACATCAAAAAGAGCCAAAACCACCAGCCTATGCAACCACGAGGTGTCGAAGGGATCAGGTGTAAGGCATCATCAGAACAAAAAATCTTACCATAGTGAAT